GTCTCCCGATCGATCAACCCGAGTGTCAAGATAGCGATTTAATTGGCGCGTCATCACGTCTTTTCTCGTACGACCAATGTTACCACACATATTTGCGTGTTGTTTAATGATCAACAAGACACTCTGACTGTCGATTATCAGCCGTGTTCTCCTCTCCAATTGTTGGGGCCTAGACAAAGAGGCGCACGTATCGATCATTCCTCTTGGCATAAGACAACTAAACTACATCCAAAAGCAGTCTCAGATGTTAATATGAAGTGTGAAACTTCTGGTTCATGACTTTGTGAAAACTTTTGATATCAGCAGCAATGAACCTTTGGAGGTGTTTTCTCATTTTGCGCTCTTTCAAAGATTGATCGATTGATTTATTGATAAGAAAAACCTGTACACATTGCGCTCGAATGCACAGAGCCTAGAGAAGTGACCACAGATAAAAGTGTTGTATTTGATGTAAACGTACGAATGACACGAGCGACTCTTGCCTAACCTCCAAAGATAACCCGGAGAGAGAACACAGGTGGAGACAAAATGTTAGCGTGTATTCATTTTTGGAGACAACAGTTAACGTGTATTTTTCTGGATTAGATTCCGATACGCAAATATATAAAACTAATCACGTATACAACAACGGCGCAGTGACACACCGATCAATTAGATTGCGTCCATGACATCGATTGATCGATTGGACAAACATTGGTTGATTCGTTCTGAGGTCATTCAATCGAGCGTGCGTGTGGCCTGACTCGGAGGCGTGAGCGATCGGACGGATTGTTTAAGCTCCGTCCTTAAAAACGGTATAGTGCTCCTATTCCCGAGAGTGAGTGCTAAATATTTTGTTTGTGAATCCTTTTGAAATACAAATGTATAAAAGGCCTTAACAAATAGAGTAGCATTTTACAAGAGAGTAGTTTCGGATATAGTAAGTTTCGTCAGGTACGGAGCAAACGAAGCATGAAGTAAAAACAAATGTACCACTAGAAGGCTGTTTCGGCCTGGTAGGGTTCCGACTTGGAACGGAACCCAGGATCTCGCAAGTGG